CTTATTTAACTCAGAGTATTCTTTTCAAAAGATTAATAGTGCAGAATTTGTTCCCAAAAACATGACGATATCATTATCAAAGCATTTCCGAGGAAATGTGTTTCATTTATATTTAAAAACCTTGGGATGTCATGGTCAATACAGCAACATAAGCATAAACGTAATATTACAGGCCTTACAATAGTTTATTATTCTAATGGGCTATTCCCCTTTAAATCTCACTCCAGGTTTAAACTCATCACACCTGTGCTCTTACGCCGCTACCTGTGATACAAAGAAACTGAGTGGGTCAGGCTTGGGAAAGCCTGATGAGCACATAGGGTTTTCAACCCACAATAATATAATTAATTTGTTTTAATTATATATTTCACCATAAACAAATAATAAAGTTACCTATTCCCGTTACTCTTACTCTCCGGTTCTATAATGATGATCTCAAGAAACCACCTATGAGCAACGATAGACATTGTTGCCTCGGGGATTCCTTAGCAATATATGTCAATAAGGTAACCATGAGGGGGATAGAGTATACCGAATGAACACACCATTCATTAACACCTACCAGTTGCGAACCTTCTAGTGTTCCCACTGGACTGTCTAGAATAGTCTGTGGTCGTCATCTATACTCTGCTAGATGACAATTCACCATTGGTACAATAGTACCTGAACGCCCTCACCTTTTTATTATTTCACCTTTTACAACCCATCACTACCCAATATGTTTAAGATACCATAAAATAAATAATTTAGTATTTTATCAAAAATCGGGTTCAGCCAAATAAGCTAAATAGAACACAAGTATTGTAAATACAGGTAATAAGCACATATAGCATTTAAGCAGTTAAATACTTGTATCTATGTGTAAGTTGAAAGTAAGTATGCACTCACTTGATTAGTTTTGTATCAACTTAACTGATGGAATCCGAAAGATTGCGAGTGTAACCTCGATGCTTAGAGTTTTTTTAATAAAAGATTCTCCAACGCTCTAATGCTTCTACGTTTCACTAATGACACTCGAGAACAAGAAACCAATTCACAATGACTGAGGTCTGGAGGCAGAGAGATTTGAGAGAGAAAGGTGTGACAAAATGAAGAGACTTGAGCCCCTATCTATAGTATTATGATTTCTTAGCCACTAAGTTTACTTAGCCATTAATTCGTTCTTATCCAAATCATTAGTTCGTTCTTATCCAGATTATTTAATTCGTTCTTATCCAAATCATTTAATTCGTTTTTATCCAAATCATTTAATTCGTTCATGTCCAGATTATTTAATTCTATAGTTACAATTATGGTCTTTCATCTCTTTCTTCTTTAGCACAATATACCCTTCATAATAAAATCTTATCATATATATATATATATATATATATATATATATATATATATATATATATATATATATATATATATATATATATATTACATATTATTTTACGACCTACCTAATATTATTAATAGATAGCCGATGTCATAAAATATATCTGGTTATTATTAGTCGAAAAATACAGGTGTAACACAAAAATACCGTTTCAGTACGTGAGTTCATCATTGAATGTATTTACATCTTATAACATATAATTTGAGATTTTAGGATTATTTTTCCTAAATAATCTTCCATAAAAAAATATTATTTTATTGCTTCAACGATAAATTTATAATAAGATTTTTCTACAAATATTATATACACATAATATATGTCCATATTTCATGCATATAATATATATAAATCGGTTTTATATAAACACATATTATGCTTTGAAGAATTCTTATTCATTTATTAAGAAGTTTACATTAGACATAAATGTCTAGCGAGAAACACGGGCTTTACATCTCGTGGGCTTGAGGGTTGGTTATTTCACGGCGGGACAGGCTGCTTTAAAAGCTACTGTATGCAAAGTCACCAAACATGTGAAATCGTGCAGGGAAAATCAACATGTGTTCATACCATTTGCATTTGATACGTTTGGTTTCCTCGTGCCGGATGCGGTGGAGCTTCTTAATAGAGTACAACGGATCATGCATAACAATGTTATATCTCCTAGATCTGTCGATGTTGTATTCAAAAGAATTAGTTTTACCATACAAAAAGGATTAACGACACGACTTGTTGCCCGTTTTCCATCTCACCCGTTGTATGATGATAACTATTATATATTATTACTAAAAAGAAGTCTAATGGTAAGGTTAATCCCAAAAGTGACCAAAGATGGGGGATCAGTAATCCCATTTTATCATGTTTTCTAAATTTATCTCACAATATCATGTATTTTATAAAACATGATATGACGATTCATGAAACATATAAGGAATAGTTTCCATTATATAATATTCGTTGTTTCATAACAACTTTTGGAGAACTATTTGTGAAACTCTCCGAAAGTATATCGTGCAAAATCTCTAGCAAAAGATTTGCATAACGAAATAATGTCAAAACAAGTTACTATGACTTAAGTGCTAGTATTTAACCGATTAAGTTACTTGTTTGATTGGTTTATGATGATATCTATATTTCTTAAAACATTGAACCTATTACGTCAAATATATAAATATGTATGTTTTTCAAGTTATCACAACTGCAAAGCGATTCGTAGAGTCTAAATATAGGGAACTTACATTGGAGGTATTAAATTGGTATTTAGACTCTTAGGAGTGGGCATGGTATCAACCATGGTATGCCACGAAGACCGCGGCTCACACCATCGCAGGTGTGCAACCTAGGCTGAGCTCGACTTCCCCATTCCACACATTCTCTCTCTTCCTTTCACTCTCTCCTCTTTAAACCTTTTATTACCCTTTTTTTACATTGTAAATAATACCTTCAACCATCTAACTTTAACACACCTAAAACTACTTCTTCTATCTCTCTACAATACTAATTCCATATCTCTAGAATTCAAAACTATGTCTTCTTCAAACACTGAAAATAGCAAAAAAAAGACATCCACAAGGAACACCCCAAACTTTCATTTGATCGATAAATCTACTCATCACTCGTCTGCCATTATGGTGGTATGCTACCATATTATCCACAATCATATACACAACCACATCCACAATCATATTATCCATAACCATATCCACAACCACAACCACAATTTTAAATTGAAAACGAATTTAATCCCTTTGATTTTGTGTTTCAAAGTTAACACGAATTTGTTCATCAAACTCAAGTCGAAACAAAATCCGAACCTGAATTCGTTCGGAAAACTCAACTCAACGAGGTAATTAAATGAAAAAGGGAAGTCGTCGAATAAACCTTGAGAACCGGTAGAAATGATGACATTGGCACATGCATAGGTCGGTATATCTGAGGATGTGAAAGTGCGCAACGACCAAAAACATGATCATTTTTGGGCGTGTTCTTAAGCGTTTCCACAAAAGAAATAAAGAAAAAAGAAGGTCGTACGAACAACCAAGTGTACTCCAAATGGGGGAAGACAAACAAGAAAGTCATATTGTATAATGAATTGTATAACAACATGAAACGTCAATGACAAAAGGGAGAAAATGATGACATCGTTTTCAAGACAACGCTAAGTGTGTGTCAAAAGAAAACAAGAATTCATTAACATTTATTGAGTTTTGGAATGGTATCAAAGATAAAAAAAATAGAAATAAGTAAAAACATCCAAACAACATGTATGTGGTGGTTCAAAACCGTAAAAACATATGAGTCCGACTACACAACATCAAATGCTCATGTTGGAATCAACCTCAATGATGATGATACCATTCAGATTACACCACCTTCCTGCTCAAATAGGAAGGGATAAAGTGAAACACAAAGAGAAAGGTAAATCAAAAGATTCAGATGAGTTGAAAGTGATGGGAACGGAGATTAAGGGTCCAAATGCAAGATTAGGCAAATTTTTAGATTTCTCTACAGAAAAAAAGTTTAGAAAACAAAAAGCTAATGACATGAAACTCTTAATGCAAGACAGAACTCACTACACCATGGATGAGCGTGAATTGACTTTGGAGTTAATATACGAAGTTAGGAAAATTGTAACACCCTTAAATTACAACCCAAAAATTTCATTTTTAAGTTTGACAATCATAAAACAAACCATTTATTTTTTTTTTCCAAAACCATGAAACATAAAATAGTTTAGTTGTGCAATCCATGATACATATAAAATCATCATCAGAGTCATAATCCCAAAATCACTAGTGCGGAAAATCCACAGTGTGATGCGATACGATCAAGCCGGCCCTTTCCCCTTCGAGCTAGAAGTACCTGAAACAAAAACTGAAAACCGTAAGCATAAAGATTAGTGAATTCCCCCATCATACCACATACCATACAATAACATACTGCCTAGCATATCAGGGTGCTGGCTTACCCCTTCGGTCTCTTTCAACCGGTAACCGCCTAGCATATCAGGGTGCTAGCCTACCGCTTCGGTCTCTTGCAACCGGTTACGGGGACTATTTCACCCCTACTTGATTGATCTATTTAGCTCGGGTATCGAGGTCATCCTATCAGTTGTTTTAACTGCTCTTGTATATTAGTGATCTTAAGGTTGTTTTCTTTAAGAGTGCCTTCAATATTTGCCTTTTTGGCGACTTCTTCAACAAAATGGTTGTTTTTTAAAGAGTTTTCTAAAAGAATAGAATGTTTGTCAATAGACTGGGTTAGCTTGATAGTTAGTTTATTTTGTCTTTCAATAACTTCGAAGAATTTTTCAAAATTATTTTTATCAAGATTATTTTTAACCAAAATGGCTAAATCGTTTTTAAATTGGTTAAAAGGTATTTTATTTTTAGAAATATCTTTAGAAATATCTTTTGAAATACCAAGGTAATGGCATATTTTCGAAGTTTTTAAGAGACATCTTGCAATGATCTGGTTGAGATTATTGCAATGATTTACAATTGTTTGAATACCAGCTTTTCCAGAAGTAGAGAAAACGTATTCTTTCTTTTCAGTATTGTCGTCAAGGGTTTTGATTTTTACTGTTTTACCTTTTTTATAAAAATGAGGAAAATCTATTTTATTACTCATTTATTACCTCAGAGATTTGTTTGATATTCTGACGTAGACTATCAATTTTTAAAGACATGTTTCTTATTAAGTTACTATCTTTTCTTTCTGAGCTTTCTCCTATATGGAGTGAATCCATAGAAATTCTTGGTCTAAGAGTTTCTCCTAGAGCTTTTTTGTTTCTAGCTATATTTAAAACCCAAGAGTTTTCTTGAGGATTTATGTCGCAGAATTGTTTATCTTTGACATGGCCTATTTCTGAAAAGACATCATCAAGTTCGATGTACTCGTCTTTCTTGTAGTCTATGCTATGGTGACTATTGGTCAGGGCATATCCTATGAGATAGGTTATGCTGAATGGTTTATCACCTGGGTTCATAAGGTCACTTCTTTCAAAGTGATGTATAAAAGATAAAGTTTTATCTATATTTGCAGATTTCAAATCTAGAGCAAATTTTGGATAGACTGAAAACTTAAATTTTTGGTATGCAAGGTTTCCCCTAGCAGCACCTAAGATGCAGTCCTGTCTGTCAGTAATTCTGTTGTCAATTAAGGCCATTTTTATGGGAGAATTTATTCCTGCTTGGAATTGGGATTTTATCAAAATTTTTACAGCTCCGATATGGACCATTCTTACTTTTGATCTAATCTCAACTGGAATACTTTTTAAGTTATTGTTTATTTGTTCTTTAGTCAAAAGGGGTAGAAAGACAGCTCCTATTGTGTCTTTTATGTCTACAGACATTTCTTTAGTACTAACAAAGTAGAAAATTTCATTTTTCCTTTTAAGCGGATTTAAAATACTAAGTTTAGAAGGAACATTTTTGAAAATGTTTTCTTTCTTTATTTTTAAATCTGTTTTCTTGACCCGAGAGAGAAGATCTTGTTTTATTAAGAGGTTTGCATGAAAGCCGTCTTCATCCTCAACATAAGTTAGGATTTGTTTTTCTTCTGAATCATTTTCTTCAGAATTGTTGAAAATTTCTTTATTCATGTTTAAGAAATGTTAACAAGTTAAAATCCTTTTTCTGAGTTCTGAAACTGAGTTTAAAGCTTTATCAAGGTGTTCTTGATGCATTTTTTGCCTATGAAGGAGGTACTTACGTATATTAACCATGGTTGGTATATATTCGTGAGTATGTTTATTTTGTGCTTGTAGAATTCTGAAATTTATATGCACTAAATCTTTTTTATTACTTAAAAGTATATCTTTATGTTGAGAAATCTCATTCTCTGTATTACGAATTTCTTCAAATAATTCACTGTAAAGTGTTTTATTATAATGTAGTACCATTTTTTAACAAGGCTCTGATACCAGTGGTGGTGGTGTACGGAATTTGTTTATTATATTTTGTATGTTTAGAAGGAAATAGATGCAAAAAATTGTAAAGAGAAAACTCATTAATCAATAAGTGTTTTGTAGTAGGAGTATTACTTACATAGATAGAAACTATTCAAGCCAGCCTGTGTCAATCATTGGTCTATGTGGTTGCTTTCCCTGTTGGCCTCATGCCTGTGGTACTGTTGACCATCGTCGACCTGACACTCTGTCACTTACAGGTTTCATGACTCTATTTTGTAAGAACACTCAAGTATAACAAAACAAAGATTTATTGATAAAAGAGCTCCCGAAATGGGAGTACTCCTATAATATTTTACATCTCTCCCTTCTAAGGGAGATTTTTACTCACAAGACATTGAACTGAAAATTTACAAGATAGAGAGTGTTTTTGTTGCACTCGTTATTGCGATGATCCTTTTTCTCCAAAACATAACTCTCAATTTATAGATATATTGAGAGGGTCTGATCCTTGCCTATTATGTCAGGCATGACGTTTTTATCCACTAAAGATTACATTATTGTGGACAGCTGGAAAGCTTTTAATAATGGAGAAAAGGCATTATTATTTTGAGTGGAGGGGCCATTTGACACGTGAAGCATCTTTCTTTAAGATGATGAGGATTTGTCATCTTCAGAGGGGGGTCCCTCCTTTGTCTCCGAATCTTTGCAATCACAAAAGTGACAAAGATGTTCTTCGAAAAGTTGTTCTGCATGTCGGCAGAAGTGTTGGCGTGTAGCATTGGATACTTCCATGCTATTGTTCATGAATTTTTCTCCAAACTTGGAGGCTTGACGAAGATCTTCTTGGCTGGTGTTGTTGTAACTCCAGCTTGTAATTATACAATGTGAATCGGTATAATTAATCTTCTTTTTTGAACCAGAGATAATTTCAATGATTTTTTCTGATATTCTTCTTAAACCATTGACGCGGTTAGGATGAAGAATTTCTGTGAAAGGTAGATCTTTATCTTCCATTGGTTGAGATTGTTCAATCTCTCTATTGGCTTTAGAAAGACCAATTTCCAGAAAGTGGTATGGAGAAAGAGTTGATTCTTGAATCCATTCTGGGAGTGAAGAGATGCATCTGATGTAGATCGGATTATCTTTTGCTTTAAGTACTTTCTTTCGAAAGTTCTTAATGGATTCTACCATGCTGCTTGGGAAGAATTTGAGTTCTTGAAGGTTGCAGCTTGGGTAGATATTGTCGATTAGTCCAGCTTGAAAGGCTTGGTAGACTAATTTTGCATCTGCTCCTTCGAGAAAGTTGAACAGACTTTTTGTTTTCTTGTCCGTAGTGAAAAACTTTTCATGAACAAGGTCTTCTGGGCATGCAGCTCTTGCTTTCTTCCAGATTGTTCTGAAATCTTCAAAAGAGATTTCAGGATAGTTAACCATTTGTTGAACGTCAATTGGAACGTCAAACCTTTGGTCTCTGTGGGCTTCTTTGACTTTTTGAATTTTTGGTCGAAGAAGTGGTTGGTTAGTCTTGCTTGTATCGTCTTGATAAGTGGCAAGGCTTAATCTTGCAGATGTTTCATTTCTGAATTTTTTGCAAGTAACTTTATCAACTTTACAGAAGGTTTCTGTAATTCCCCAGTCAGTATGAACACCGGCATGGGGTCCTTTATAGATTACATAAAATCTTTCAGCTTCTTTGTTAAGAGCTTTTTTGTAATCTGGTGTGAACTCCTGCACAGATTTGTTAGTGGGTGACAAAGTTGTCATTTTACTGATTCCTTCAGTACAAGGATTGGGATCAACCAATAAGCTAGTTTTTCCATTAGGAAGAGGAGTAGCTGTCTCCTTTATTATGCTTTTTAGCAAAGCATCAGCTTTCAACGGATTTGTTGATTCTTTACCAGGTGCCGTTTGCACTGGAATAGCCTTTGTTTTTGAGCTTTCGCTTTCCGGTACATTGGTGACCGTTGTTACTTGTTCATACAAGTTGATTTTCTGCTCAATTGCAGATAGCTCTATGAGGAGCATTTGTTTCTTCATCCTCAAAATGTTGAGGTCTTCCATTTTTGTAAACTCAATTTTTGTTTACTTTTCTCTCTAATCTCCTCCTCACTTTTTTGTAGGTGAAGTTTTTTGTGAGGAAATATGTCATGAGGATCATATCCTTTTATAGGGCTCGAGAGGAGCGAGTGAGATCATGGATGATGTAAGGCATACCTGAAGTCACGAGTGAGGCAGTCTGCCAGTACGTTTTTGTTTCCTGCGAGATGTTCAACAGCGAAAGTATATCGTGAGAACCACTCTTGCCATCGTATTAGCCGGCCTAATTTGTTATCTCCTGCAATCTTCGTTCGGAGGAAATAAGTAAAATTTTTATTATCTGTACGAACCAGGAAATTTACTGGTGTTAAATATACAGAGAATTTTGTAATAACTCTTTTTACAGCGAGTAATTCTTTTTCATTGCTATGGTAGTTTTTCTCAGCTGCTTTGAAACTGCCAGAGGTGTACCTGCAAATTTGTTCTTCGTTTTTGGGGTTTTTAGCTTTTAAAACACCTCCCCAAAATTCATCAGAAGCATCAGTTTCAATAATTAAACTGTCTTCAATGTTTGGAAGATAAAGTTTTGGAAAATTGATTAAAACTTTCTTTATCTTTTTGATGTAGTCTGTATCAGCATTTGACCAATTCCAGATGACATCTTTTTTTAATTTTACCTGTAAAGGTTTTCTCATGGCTGCAAGTTTTTCAATATATGTTTCAGCATAAGTTAAAACACCAAGAAATCTTTGCAGTTGTTTTTTGTCTTCTAAAACATTTGGAAAGTCATGTAAATGTTCAAGAATATGCTTTTGAGGACAATGAGTACCTTCATTTATTTCTAAACCCAAAAAATTGATTTTTGTTTTGAAAAGATGAGCTTTCTTTTTTGAAAGTATTATTCCATATTTTAAAATAGTTCTGAGAACCTGTGTGACATGAACATAGTGTTCTTGTTCATTTTTGCTGAAGATCATGATGTCATCAACGTATACAGTGCAGAAACCTTCAAGGCCTCGAAGAGCGTTCTGCATGTGTCTTTGAAAAATACTAGGAGCTTGTTTAAGCCCAAAGGGTAGTACTTTCCATTGAAAGAGTCCATCAGGACATGTGAAGGCAGTGAAAGAGTCCATCAGGACATGTGAAGGCAGTGAGAAGCTTCTCACTGCCTTCACATGTCCTGATGGACTCTTTCAATGGAAAGTACTACCCTTTGGGCTTAAACAAGCTCCTAGTATTTTTCAAAGACACATGCAGAACGCTCTTCGAGGCCTTGAAGGTTTCTGCACTGTATACGTTGATGACATCATGATCTTCAGCAAAAATGAACAAGAACACTATGTTCATGTCACACAGGTTCTCAGAACTATTTTAAAATATGGAATAATACTTTCAAAAAAGAAAGCTCATCTTTTCAAAACAAAAATCAATTTTTTGGGTTTAGAAATAAATGAAGGTACTCATTGTCCTCAAAAGCATATTCTTGAACATTTACATGACTTTCCAAATGTTTTAGAAGACAAAAAACAACTGCAAAGATTTCTTGGTGTTTTAACTTATGCTGAAACATATATTGAAAAACTTGCAGCCATGAGAAAACCTTTACAGGTAAAATTAAAAAAAGATGTCATCTGGAATTGGTCAAATGCTGATACAGACTACATCAAAAAGATAAAGAAAGTTTTAATCAATTTTCCAAAACTTTATCTTCCAAACATTGAAGACAGTTTAATTATTGAAACTGATGCTTCTGATGAATTTTGGGGAGGTGTTTTAAAAGCTAAAAACCCCAAAAACGAAGAACAAATTTGCAGGTACACCTCTGGCAGTTTCAAAGCAGCTGAGAAAAACTACCATAGCAATGAAAAAGAATTACTCGCTGTAAAAAGAGTTATTACAAAATTCTCTGTATATTTAACACCAGTAAATTTCCTGGTTCGTACAGATAATAAAAATTTTACTTATTTCCTCCGAACGAAGATTGCAGGAGATAACAAATTAGGCCGGCTAATACGATGGCAAGAGTGGTTCTCACGATATACTTTCGCTGTTGAACATCTCGCAGGAAACAAAAACGTACTGGCAGACTGCCTCACTCGTGACTTCAGGTATGCCTTACATCATCCATGATCTCACTCGCTCCTCTCGAGCCCTATAAAAGGATATGATCCTCATGACATATTTCCTCACAAAAAACTTCACCTACAAAAAAGTGAGGAGGAGATTAGAGAGAAAAGTAAACAAAAATTGAGTTTACAAAAATGGAAGACCTCAACATTTTGAGGATGAAGAAACAAATGCTCCTCATAGAGCTATCTGCAATTGAGCAGAAAATCAACTTGTATGAACAAGTAACAACGGTCACCAATGTACCGGAAAGCGAAAGCTCAAAAACAAAGGCTATT